TTCTCAAGCACATATTCTTCTTTCAATCATTTTTTTTTCATCTAAACCATTAAACCAAAAGCTTTTCAGAGGTTAAACTTGCTTACCATACGATGCTATGTGGTTTGCTGAAGCCTGCATTTTTTATTCTCTTTGCTTATTTGGCTCTTAGTGCATTTGGGAATCAAAGCAGTGGGAATAGGAGAAGTAGAAAGGGATGGGGAATTACTGACGGTCTATGTAGAAGAAGACTTCAGATGACATGATTTAATTGTGTACAAAGGGCAAACAGGCTGGGAGCTGGTGGGTAACTTGACCACACAGACAATAGGGTCAGGTCTGGACCTCAGACCTCCCAACCACCCAGACCAGGCCCCTGAGGGAGAGATGGACAAACTTATAGTCCAGGATTTGGAGGAATACAAGAATGAAAATTTATGTAATTTTACCAACTTGCAAGGGAGCAATGCCTAATAGGGGTTTTGGGGTCAGAGAGCCTGGCTCAAAAGCTAGTTCTCTACTAACAAGAAAAAGTATTGACCCCTCTAAGTCTGGGCAAAGAAAATAATCATTTTATAATAGTTAATGTCTGTTGAGCACTTGCTATATGCCAAGCACTGTTTTAAGCACATTCCATATGTTAGCCCTCAAATTCTACTTCATAAGTCTAGAGGTTTAATTCAGATAATACCTGTTAGGGCCTTAGCCCAGAGAGTTCTCAATAAACGTGGTATTACTTGGTCAACAATTAAAGAATATAAGTATTAAATAATTGATAATCTTTAAATATTAATAAGATTTAATTACTGGTAAAATCAAATGAACTATTTTTTAAATTATGATCAATAGAATTTACATTTTAAGGTTATACAGTGAATAAATATTCTCACCAGAGAAGTTCTTTTCATAACACTGTTCTTAGACAATTGAAAGATTTAGGTTGTGTTTTAAATTCTAATTCCTTACCCTGACATTTCTGTTTCCTCTGAAGCAAAGATGTACCTTAGAGAAGACACTCAGGATCCAAGCGATATGGAATAGCCAGGTGGGAAGACCTTCTAGCGTTTTCCCACTGAGTAAGCAAGTCCATACAGCTGTCAACTTTTATTCCCTCTTAGGGTAAATGAAGAATTTTTTATATTTTTACTTATTATTTATTATAAAAATAAATGCAAAAAATGCCCTTAAAGTAGAAGACTCAAAAATCAATCTTTCTGTGCTCATTTCTTTATGTTAGAGAAGTTCAGTGCAGGAGGAATCCTACAGGTAACGAGCAATTCTCTCAGTCGGTCAGCCTCATCATGAGACAGCCTCTTTCATGACCTCGGGACTCTCACAGTGTGGAAGCGTCAGGCTGATGGCTTCTGTCCTCTCCTCTCTGCCTCTCTGTATCTCACCCGGAAAATATGCCAACCTAGCCCATCACTTTTCTGGAAAATCCAAGTAAATCATGCCTGAACTGTGCCCCCTGCTTAAGGCTGACCTAAGACGAGAGTAATTTATAAGCTTTGATAAGTGACAGATGTTTTCTCTTATTGACACAGTTTGTTGCCACCAGGATACTCTGTGCCCTGAATATGTTAGAATGTAGAAGAAGTCCAGGGCCTAATTTTTGCAGAGTGAGCTTTGAAATGCCTGAGAAGTGATTCTGGTTAGAGGAGTTATTAAAATGATGCATTGTAAAGCATCACTATCTGATATGTTCACTTGATGCCTCCATTTGAAATCTCTGACATTCTTACGATGCAGAATAGACGTAGTTATATTTACAAAAATTAGATGCACTTAACTCTTCAGAAACACATCCCAAGTCAGACCCGTCTGTAGGGGTTACAGAAGGCAGCATTATTAAATGATTTCACTCACAGGCCTTGGTGTCTTCAAAACCAAATCTTAAGTCCGGCTCTGAGCAGCTTAGGGCAGAAACTCAAATCTCTCTGAACTCCAGGATCTTAATCTTCAAAATGACAATTTCCGTGAAGATCCTTCTCTTCAAAATAATTCCTACCTTATAGCATTGCATTAAGGATTAAATTTAAAAGTAATCAATCATCAATCAATCAGTATGTGAAAAATTTAGCACATCTCCTGGCACATTCTAAGCATGCTGTAACTATTAAGACTACAAAATATGGAACTGAAATTACACCTTAGGTGAGAATATTTGCTGAAGAAAATTTGACTTCACACATCTGAAATGTTTTTGATTCACTGATTTGAGGGAAAGGTGTCAATTTTTTGCAGTTCGTATCAAACAGTAACAATGAAAACCATACGTTGAGACAATGACTTGCCATCTTGCACGCCACAGTGTTTGACGCATGTCATCTCACTGAACACCCCAGTGATCCCACCAGGTGGGTATTGCTCTTTCCATTCATAGGTGTAGAAACTGAGACATAATTTAAGCTAACCACCCAAGGTCTTCCTGCTACTAATGACCAGCTTAGGATTTCACACTCTATGAATGGCAGTGGTGGAAGTGCCTGAGAACATTTCTATATTTTAATTAAGGTTAATCTAGGTCAATGGTTTTCAATTTTTTTTTTTGGAATCAAAGTTCCCTTGTACTCTAAAAATGTTTGGGGACCTCGTGAAGCTTTTGTTTGTAGGTGTAATGCTTATTGGTATTTTCCATATCATAAATTAAAGCTAAGAATTTTTAAAATATGTGTTTATTTAATTTAAAATGATATTAACAATTTAAATAATTTATTATTCTAAAGTAATTTCAAAGTAATAATAAACACATTACATTCTAACATACACATTTTTATGAAAATTCAGTGTTTTCCAAAACAAAACATTTTAGTGAGAAGAGTAACTTCATTTCACGTTTTTAGCAAATCTCCTTAATATCTAACTTAAAAGAAGACAGCCGTGCTCTCCTATTTGCTTCAGCATTCAGCCTGTTACACTGCAACACTTTGTGTGGACCCTGGAGAACTCCACTGAGTTCTCGTGAGACAATTCAAATGGAAAGAGCAAATAAAGTCTTAATATTATTATGAAAGTAGTCTGACCATTGGATTCCTTAAAAGATCTCAGGGACCTCTAGGGGTCCCAGCTCACACTTAAAGAACAACAGTTTAGATTTAAGAAACCTGAGAGGTGCCGTTGCCAAATTCAGTCTGCAGTGAGAACTCAAGTTCATCAATTACCTGCACATCCACAAAGTGTCTGTTTGTGCTGTTTGGAAAAGAATGATGAAAATTTGTCATTTCTAGGTAATAATAACCACTGAGTGGGGAAAACACTAAAAAGTAGTGATAACGCTTGGCTAAAACAAAAATGTTATGGAAAAACGTGTCAGAATTACATTTGGTTAACTCAATCTGCAGAGACAAAATTAATGTATTTTTATCTCTATAGAACAAAGGAAGACAATTCTTCATTGTGCAAATGAAATGTAATTGAAGTGTCATTCTATTTTTATGGCATTAGCCAAACTGATTAAATCTGTTATATTACTTAAGTGAAGGTAGTTGTCAAATGTTAGCAGACATATACCTTAATAAAGTAGAGGGTACTGGGAGAACACTGGAAATTTTATATAAGTAGAGAAAAAATTTTATACAATATTTGGATAGTGTTACACATCAGAAGTTGAATCATTTCGTTGTTTGAGATTGCATCTTCAAAATGTTTTGGCTCAGAAATACAATTTTTATTCATTGCTTTAAATTCAAAGACCAGAAACAAGGCATTTATAAATCACATTTGTGAATTTGTGAATTGAAATTCATTTTGCCCTACCATACTGTTTCTACAAGGAAAATGGTTGTTGTAATGCACTTACTTATAATAATTTTTAAACTTAACAGTAGTACCCTAAATGTTCTAGAAGAACTGAATCCTATTTCACAGATACGTTACCAAAGCTGAAGAACTAAAAAAAAAAAAAATCATAATTTTGGTAGCAGTATTGCACCAAGTGGAGAAGCACTACATTTTTAATAAAAAATATTCATAGAATGTAAAAGAACTCTAACACTAAAATGAAGTTTAATCCCCATTGCCAATTAAACCATACCCCAAAACAACCATTTGACTGCAACTTACAGAAAAGTTACAGGTGCACTGAAGTTTCCAGATGTTAAATTTGATGAGAGAAGAAACAACAGTATTAACCTCAGTGTGTTCCTCTAAAGTGAATTCCTGATCGACTATTTTACACAATCTAGAGGTGCTATTATCCTGGAAATATTTTTCGACTATCCAGATGCTCTGAGGCAAATAAAACACTTACAGATTCTTCAGAAAAGAGTTCCTGTTTACATAAAAAACCTTGCAAATGGCACTGAGAAGGTTTCCTTGGTTCCCTCAGGTTCTCCGCAGCAACAGCCTCCTCGAGTCTACAGACTATTGGCTGCAGAATCAGAGGACGCCCTGCCAGATTGGTTTTGTGGAAGACAAGTCTGAAAACTGCGCATCTGTAAGTAAACACCCGGCTCTGGGATGTGGGCTGAGAAAGTGGGGAGTTGGGCTCACGTACTCACGCTAAGTACATAATCGACAAATACAAGGTTGGGAAAGTATCCTTTTGAAAATATGTAACTGGTTTATACAGAGTGTTAACAAAATGACAGGCAGAAGCTCATGTTTCTTCTCCTATTTTGCTCATTTCAACGAGTAAATTGATCTGTTCAATTCTTGGAAATGGAAAAATGATGTTGATATTTTCAAAACCAACTGAGAAAAAGATTCAGAAATAGAATTGCATGATGAGAAATAAAAGCTCATTCAAGAGCTCTCTTGGATTCTTTTCAATATATTTTATAACTACTACTGGTAGGTGTTTTCCAACATGAAAATTCTGTAACAATATTCTACCATTCTTATAAGTTATAGTCATTGTCTGAAAACCTTTTCAACATAAGCAATATGCAGGCATACATTTTAATATTATATACTAGATCTTAGCTTTACATATAAAGCCTCTCTTTTCAAGGGAAGAGATGTTCTTATAGGTAAATGCTTCCTATGGCTTAGAATATAAGGGTATATTGTTGATATAAGAAAAATATCTCCTTCTTGTATGATGTAGGCTGCTTTCTACATGTTCTACGAAGCCATATGTTTCATTTTAACTGAATCACCTAGTTCTTACAGGGTCATGATTACAGAGATTGGGGGAGAAATTTCTAAAGAGAAATGTAATTCTCATGACTAAGTTGAGAGCATAAGCTCTGAGCTATTCCTGGAGGTAAGTTGCATGCCAGCATTTCTGTTAAAAGAAAAAAAAAAGGAAGCTGAAAATGGGATGGAGAAGCTTTTTATACATAATGAGCAGAACCAGAACTGGCAGACAGAGGATGTAAAATATTTCACACCACAGAGTCTCATTGCACAAAGAAACTGGAGTTCAGTTAACAGACTTAATAAAATCTCTTTGTATAGGCAAATGATTTTGATTCTAGTACCTTGGGGACTTTTTATTCCTTGTCCAGAAAACTAGTTGATGGCTAAAAATCTTTGGCAAAAACAGAAAGGATTAGGTGGTACATTGATGCCTTCTTTGCAAATTCAATTCTGAGATGAGGTGGAGAATTGAAGCATTTGCTGATATGAATCTCTAGTTACACAGCTATAAATTGTAAAAGGGGGAGAAATGAAGAGTAAAATCTATCAGCATCTATCCAAGTAGTTCCTGTATTGAGGGGTCTACTATTTGGAGAAGGTAAAATTTGAGGGGCACTAAAAATTGTGTAATAAAGGGCAAAGAGGTCTTCTCTAAACTTTGTATTTGGGGAGTCTGTACTGCAGATCTACAATTAGACGTGGTCTATTTATAACCAAATTTAAGATGACCACTGCATCTTCCTAAGTATAAGGAAACTATTCACATTTCCCCACCAATCCCAGTAAACTCAAATTTGGCCTTAAAACTGTATGTCTTTCTTTCTTAATTCTTTGTCCCTTTACAGTGTCAGATAACGTCAGTGAGTTTGAGCTAGCTGATTCATCCTGCCTTTATGAGTCTCTCTATTCTTACCCCAAAGGGGAAGAAAATCTAAATACAAATGAAAGTCATATTGGAAGCTTAGTTTTCCCGCAAGAGTTTAATAATAATTGAAACTGACACAAATATTGAAAATTGTTCATGACTCTAAACTTAAGAAAAAAATTCAAGATCCCTATGAAAAATGAACCTTAGTCTGTCAAAATGTATCCTGTAGTTGCTTTTTTTTAATTTTCATAATTCTTTATTAAAATTGAAGTATAGTTGAGTTACAACATTATATTAGTTTTAGATATACAACATAGTCATTCAGTATTTTTATAGATTATACCCCATTTATAGTTATTATAAAATAATGGCTGTATTTCCCTGTGTTGTACAATATATCCTTATAGCTTATTTATTTTATACATAGTAGTTTGTATCTCTCAATCGCTTACCCCTATGATGCCCCACACACACCCTCTCCCCAGTGGTAACCACTAGTTTGTACTCTATGTCTGTGAGTCTGTTTCTCTTTTGTTACACTCATTCTTTTGTTTTATTTTTTATATTCCACATATAAGTGATAACAAAGTGTTTGTCTTTCTCTGTCTGACTTATTTCACTAAGCATAATATCCTCTAGGTCCATTCATGTTGTTGCAAATAGCAGAACTTCATTCTTCCTTACAGTTGAGTAATATTCCATTGTGTGTGGGTATATATATTAGTGTGT